GCAAACTTGTGAATTAAAAGAATAACTTACAGTATTTAGTTCTGCATGAAACATTTTGCCTTCAATTCCTTCGCCCTTTAGTCTCTTGTTTAGGGACACATTACGCATTACGTACTCATCACAAAAGAACCAATCGGACATACGGATAGTCTTTCTTATAATTCGTTAATTTGTGTACATGTGTGTGGTTGTGAACTTGGCTATCTAGTGTAGCGAACTTTAAACACGCGCAACGAAAGTGTAGAACTTGAATGTACCGAGCTCGGCATTTGGCGAAACCGGCGCCAATTACGTCGTTCGACATCTCATGTCTCAGCCCTGTTAAAACATACACCATTCTTAGACGTTGGAGGGAAACTGGATTAAGGACATAAATTCTTTCAAATTCATCTCTACAGTAATAATCAGACTACCACGTAGGTTAAGCCTACCTGAAGAGTTCACCGTCACGATCAATAAAATATGCTCCATCTTCCTCGTCAGCTTTTAACTCGAACCTTCCGGAAAACATCGCACTCAGCATGGAATCTGGATCCTTTCTCAAAGTGTCCAGAGTTGTTTTATAAATCCTACCACCAACATTTAGCTTGACAGTGCTAGAGAAGTGAACGACACTCAATGTTTTTGTTATTTCCTCGATTGCTGCTTGTTCTTTTCTTGCGTTCTCGAGACCTTGCACCAATAACTTCTGACCTTTCTCTATAAGCTTTTGTCCTTGCTCAAACAAATTGAGCTCTTTCGATTGCTGTTTGGCGGCCATTTCAGGGGATTTTTTCACGCTTCCGGGACGAATTCGAAGGTGAGAGAGTGGAGGCCGATTGAGAGCCGTGTTTCTCACAACCAGCGGCTGCGCAGACAAGCAAGGTTTTCGTTTTGTATGATACACAGAGTGTACTGAATTTATAACTTTACTCATGAATCCGGATAATGTATGAAAGTCGATTCTGAAATAAAAATAATAGATTGAGTTCCTGATGGTTTTTATCCTTTTAGTTTTAAGAAATACGGAAACCCATGGTTATTTATCGCCAGGGGGGGAGGGTGAAGGATTTGGGGGAGGCATCACGTGGTCTTCAAGGGGAACAGAGGGAGGACCAGTCGTCGCTATCAGAGTATAAAGGGTGTACTAAACAAATTGAATGCTAATGAACTGTCAATGAGGATGGGATCATGAGAATATTACAGAGCTATAGGGAGGAATAAGGTAAATGTCATCGTGACATAACCAAAATCCTTTAACACCCCCCCCCCCGCCACCCCCTTTGAAAAATAATGACCAGTGCCTCAGAGTCAAACTTTTCAGAACTTTGACGGGAGTTTTGTTAAATTGGAGAATGAATGGCAAATGAGTTGCTCTTCATGCAAATGATGAAACGCGACGGTATCTAAAGACAGGAAGTTTCGGTAAGAGTTTTCCTTCCGTAGTCACACCCCAGAATTTTCCTCAATTTTCTTTTCAAAATACTGAGGGTAAAAGTAAACAGCATCCATTGAGTTCACGGTTTCCCCAGTATTTTTCATTTCCGTGCATGGTAGAAGATCGTTGGTCCAAAAAGACAAGTATCAGGGTGTTTGTATTCAAGGTAATCGGGAAATGTTAGAGAAGAAGAACCAAAGTTGGGGATTAAATTTAAGTTTCTCGCGAGACGAACTTTCAAACATTGTTAGATATTTTTCGCAAAAGAAATTGAAATTCAGCCAACCGAAGTATGGTGTTCAAAAGTGTGAGAATCTGAAATATTCGTGTTCGAAGGAAGAGTATTAAAATTTTGTCTTTCAAGGTCATTTTTGAGACAATCAACGGACTGGGGTTAAATTCTTCGGAAAAGAAGATGGTTAGTTCAAAACAGTAATAACTATTGTGTTTGAGTATTCTTACGTGATAACGTACAAAATAATGACCTGTTAAATAATTGTCTCGCGTCTTCTTCCGTTTTCGCAACTGAGTGGAATTCGCTTTCTTTTCATTCGGGGAAGTTGTTTGGAATGTTCTAATAAAAAGACTCAGAGAAACTATTTTTAGAAACAAATATGGGACTGAGCCACACTAGCTGAACCACTTTTAATTTTAAGGTCAATTTTTTTCACAGAGTTCGCTTTGGATACGATTATTACAAGATCACTTGCTGCGTGAGAGAAACTGGTCAGATATTGTAAGCGATAACCAATGACAATGAATTTTGAAAAACACCTCCCTGATTTTATTACCTTGTTGAGTTCGTAGTTTCATCTTTTCTTTTTGCAGCCTCAATTACCCGTCTTCTTTTTGGATATTAATGGAATTTGCTAGCAATAGTTCCATAGGAGTACAGGCAAAGATATTTTTGATAACTTGACTATATAAAAAAATCTCTTTATTGTTTATGTCATGACAACTTCCGCTCGGTCGAGTTTGATGCCAAAATCTCGAAATTTTCCACAACTTTCTTTTCAAAATACTTACAGAAAGAGAAATTAGATTACCCTTCTTCTTTTTGAATATTTAAGGAATTTGCTAGCGATAATTTCATGGGATTGTAGAAAAAGATATTTTTGATAACTTGACTATATAAAAAATAATGTTTGTGGTTCATGTCATGGCAAACGCAGCTTTGTCGAGTTTGATCCTTAACACTCTGACTGCATGGTGCATGGTTTACAATGTTACAAAAACAGTTTCCACTTTGCTTTTTTTTTTATCAGTACTTTCTTCCCGCCACATTGTTAAGCCCCTTTCAGACTTAAGACAGTACATTACCACCAGGTTGACAAAAAACCTGGCCATTTATTTAGCATTCATGACCAAAAGGTAGCTGAGAGCTTAAAGGAAACGACCCATGAGAGCTAGCCAAGTCAGTGCTTTATTCATCGGGAATCGGTCGAGTTTAAAAAAAGAGTTTCAAAAATTGTTGTTAAACTTTGCACTCTATTTCTTCTCTCCCTAATTTTCTTGTTGTTTCTAAAACAAAACTGACTTCTTAAACTTCTCTGAGTACAAGTTCGTACATTAGGGCCATCGAAGATTATGTTATGATATCTTAACCGTGATCTAATCATTTGATTCGTTGTTCATTAGACCAAGGATCATTCCATTTTATTTACTGAATAATATTCAATGAAAAAAATGGTTGTTACATTCGTTCCTGCCTTTTCACCCGTCCGTTCAACCTGAGTTATTGGATCAAGCCACTTCGATTGTAAAATAGATAATGAGTTCTCTCTAATCAAATTTCATGTAATGTAATGCTGATTGCAACTGACTGCATGGCTCCGCAGATGTCAACTGGCTGCTTGGCTCCGCTAGCCCCTATAGTTATTCCAGGCTGCCAATACGCTAGTTTTATTTCCAATAATCTTTTGTAATAGTTTATAAGATAAGAGAGATTGTTGTTGTTGTTATTCTTCTGATTACCTTAAGCTAGGAATTCTGAGTCAGACTAAATTAGTCTCAAATACTTCGATTTCATCCAGTTCCAACCACGTTATTAGAGAGAAGTGGGGATCCTTATCAAAACCGTCAGGAAAAATAAAGCCACAACGTAGGTCAAGACTGGCGCTAAAGTTGTTCCGCACTTCAAGGTGATAGTCCTCTGAGGTTCCAAAGCAAGGGCCTTTTCCTCTTTCGCACCTTATGCCACCACGAGCACCTGGTTTTGGATTAACCTTCATCGCTTCACCTCTAGAAGGACAAACCAACGTGAACAGGAAAGATTCGCTATCTTCGATGGCTCTCATAGGAGAAGCTGAGAAAAAGAAAGGTCGATTGTAACATACGGAGAGGCAATGGAAAAGAAAACAAATGAGCTAACAAATAAATATTTGTGGTCACAAACAGTGATTGCATTCACTTCAACTGCCACAAACCTAGTCTATACCTGATGTCCAGGACTTTGAAGTGTAGCCACCGAAGATGTGTTCTTCACCTCTGATCACCACAAGAGTGGGCCCTTTCTTGTCACAGCAGCGGTGAAAATCAGCAGGAGTTTTGCCGTCTACAGAGGCGCGATACAGCAGAGAAAAAGTAGTCCCAGGTGACAGCCACGACAGAAGGTATGACTCGTCAATTTCATCTTTTATTATTGAGGAGGGTAACGCTGGAGACATCGCTTCCTCGAGATGACTGATTATTCCTTGAATTTTGTAAATCTCAGCTTCTTTCAGGAGCTGCTCCCTAACAGTTTGGTCATCAGGGTAAAGAAGGTCACCATCACTGAGGTAGTTCAATAGATATCTTGATAGAAATAAAGAGAAAACACGGAAAACAGTAGACTGGAACATTGATGTATATTGTTCATTTCATCGGTGATATCGATAAGGTTCTCAGAATTTTCAAAATTTGATATCCCTTTTGGCACTACGTTTTTTTATTGGGGTGGAGTATGCACACTGTTTTAAGCAACATTAAAAAAAGTTCTCAAGTCCCGCAACCCAATACAATAAAGATGTTTGTGCGTTGTCACGCATTCCCTTTAGTTTCATCGTTGGCGTGAAGCGTGACGCAACCTCGTAATTATGTACAACAACGACACAATTCTTGCCCTTAAGTCAGTTCCGACTTCTCTTCGCAGCTTCAGATCAAAAAAACTTCCAAAAAAAACCCAAGTCACTCCAAGTCTACTTGATCTAATACCCGTTGCTGTATTGTTTCCTACCGAAACAGTTTCCCATCACGATCGATGAAATATGCTCCATCATCTGGATCTGCCTTTAACTCGAATCTTCCAGAGAACATCGCGCAAAGCATTGAGTCTCGATCCTTTCTTAGAGTATCTAATGTTGTATTGTATATTTTTCCACCAACATTCAGCTTAATTGAGCTGGCGAAGTGGACGTGACTCAATGTTCTTGTCATCTCTTCGACAGCTTCCTTTCTTACTCGCGCATTATCGAGATCCTTTTTCAATAGAGTGCCTGCTTCTGCCATGAGCCTCAGCGCATCAGATACTTTGGCGTTCACTGAGTCGCTAGCTTCAGCCATTACATTCTGGGCTTCGGTTAATTTTATAATTGCCAATTCTAATAAACTCAGCTCTTGATCTTCTCTAGTCGCCATATTACATGGAGACATTCACTTTCTGCACGCTAACCGAAAGTAACAACACTCAGCTCTCGTCGAATTCTTTCTGATCAGCGGTTGTCAGAAGAAAACTTCGTACCCAGGAATTTTGCTCTCAAAGGACCGCGCAGTGTTTTGGGTATCCCCGAATTTTGGAAAACACGAGTGTTTTCGTTATCTCCTCTGAGGTTACCCATAACGCTAAAAGGGAATTAGACAAGAGACTGGGGCAAGTAACATGGCATTTTCTTTGACTTGTTAACTAAAATGAATTGCTTGCAAAAGTCAGGAAATTGTCATCCAAAGTCAATTCACGGACCCGATATTGCAGTTGTTGAAGATAAGTGTCCATTTATTGTGGTGCATCTTGGAAAGAGCGATTTTTTACCTTGTCGAGTTCGTACATTCATCTTTACCTTTTTGCTACCTCAAGTACCTGTCTTCATGTAGGATATTCATCAACTCATTTCTCTGTCTCGTCAAGCTCATTATTTTGAAGCAAATTTTGATTGGAAATTTACAGAATTCATCGAAAATGAGTTAAAACGCAGAAGCTTGGGAGATTAGAGTTCCTTTACCTCACCAAGCTATTGTTTCAGGTTAATTTTGACTGAGGGTTAAAGTTGCACTACATGCGGGAAAAGTCACTAACTCGAAAATGTTTCAAACCTAAGAAAGAATGACAGATCAAATTAAGGCCTCACGGAAAAGCGTACGCACGTGAGTTAGACAGACTTGAGTTAAGGAAAATTTCAGGCAAGCACAAAACTGGCCCTTTCTTGTGTTTACGTCTGTCCTCCACGCTCTCAAAACTTTACCGTTGTATATCTTATCAAAACACAAAGTCCCCAGTAGTTTAATATTTAAACCAGGAAGACTGTAACGGAGTCAAAGATTCTACCGTTTTATTTTTTTCTTCTTTTCTTTCCATCGCCTTAGAGTGAGAAATACATTTTTTTTCGTACTGTTTTGCCGTTTACTGCGCGTGGTGTTTATTTGGAATTTCGAAACGGACAGGTTCAAGAGTTGGCACGATGTTTTCAAGGTAAATTGAGGTTTGGAGTCCATTTTTGTTCGTTTGAAAGTTATTTTCAATTTTTTGATGCGCGCTGGAGATACCATAGAAGAATGAAACCTATGGACTGATGTTATGTACTCACAGCAGTTCGAAAGTTTGATGTAAACGATGTAATCTTACTCTCAGCATGAGCCCGCGTTCCTTTTCTTAGGCAGTGTTACAAAGTAATGTCATCTGCCAATGTCTGAGATTTTCATAGGGCAATGATACTGCTACTTGTACCAGTCACTTTGCAAATTAAGTTAAAAAACTAAAACCATGCACTAAGTTACAAGATTCAGAAAGCTATTGAAGTTGATTTTAAAATTACAAAAAAAAACTTTTTCTCAACCGTGATCTAATCATTTGATTCGTTCATTAGACCAAAGATCATTTCGTTTTATTTAATGAATACTACTCAGTGAAAAAAAAATGGTTGCAACACCAGTTAATTTACGTTCCTCGTGTTTTCACCCGTCCTACAACTTGAGATATTGGAACAGGCCACTTCGATGGTAAAAAAGATAACGAATTTTCTCTAATCAAATTTCATATAATGCAACGCTGATGTCACCTGGCTGCCTGGCTCCACTGATATCAACTGGCTGCCTGCCTCTGCTAGCCCCTATGGTTATCCCAGGCTGCCAAAACGCTAATTTTATTTTATATATTTTTTCGTAATAGCTCATAAGGAAAGAGAGATTGTTGTTGTTGTTATTCTTGTTATCTAAGGCTAGCGGTTCTAAGTCAGACTAAAAATTAACCTTGAATACTTCGAGTTCATCCAGTTCTAAGCCCCACAACATTCCAGAGAAGTTAGAATCTTTATCACAACTGTCAGGCAAATTAAAGGCATGACCTAGATTAAGAGAAACCCTAAAGGCTTCCCACACTTCAAGGTCAAAGTTCCATGAGGTTCCAAAGCAAGGTCCTCTTTGACCATTGCACCTTATTCCACCATGGGCACCTGCTTTTGGATTAATCCTCATCGGTTCACTTCCAGAAGGGCCTTTCAGCGTGAACAGGAAAGATTCGCTATCTACTATGCCTCGCACGGGACAAGCTGGGGGAAAAAAAGGTCGATTGTAACATACGGAGAGGAAATAGAAAGGAAAAAAATAGGCTAACAAATAAATGGTCTAAGAAAAAAACTCGAGTTTCCAGATGGGTTTTCAACCCACGACCCTCCGTGATCTAGTCGGATGCTCTAACCACTGAGCTACAGGAGACTCTATGGTGAGCAAGGGTGACCCTTGCTCACCATAGAATCTCCTGTAGCTCAGTGGTTAGAGTATCCGACTGGATCACGGAGGGTCGTGGGTTCAAATCCCATCTGGAAACTCGATTTTTCTCTTATATTAAAAATTTTTTATTTCATCTTTAAATAAATGGTCGTGGTCGCAAAAAGTGATCACATTCAATTCTACTACAACAACCTAGCCTATACCTGATGTCCAGGACTTTGAAGTGTAGCCACCGAAGATGTATTCTCCACTTCTGATCACCACAAGAGTGGGCCCTTTCTTGTCACAGCAGCGGTGAAAATCGGCAGGAGTTTTGCCATCTACAGAGGCACAATACAGCAGAGAAAAAGTAGTCCCAGGTGACAGCCATGACAGAAAAGTTGACTCGTGATTTTTATCGTTTATGACTGAGGGTAACGCTGGAGACATCGCTCTCTCAAGATGACTAATTATTCCTTGAATTTGGTAAAACTTTGCTTCTTTCAGGAGCTGCTCCCTAGCCGTGCGGTCATCAGAGTAAAGAAGAGTGCCATCGCGGAGGTAGTTCAATAAATATCTTGATAGAAATAACGAGAAAACACAAAAAACAGTAGACTATAACATTGAATGATATTGTTCATTTCGTATGATGCACGATCCTCGCAGTAGAGACCGCTATTTATGCAATAGCGAAAATCAGACCTGAAAAAAGTCAGGCCTGTACGGGATTCGAACCGTGGCAATACTAGTACAGCGCTCTACCAATTGAGCTACCAAGC